CACTAGGCAACTTTTAACAGCCTTGTGGCTTTTTGTCTTTATAAGCCCCTGACTCTTTCTCTTCCCTTGAACACTCTTTTGGTTTAACCAGAATCTGTGTCTCCTGAATTGCAATTCTTAAGAGCCCAAATAAACTATTTTATTATTTGCAGCCTTCTGCACTGTTTTTCTGTTGACAAATTCATATTTTCCTCTGTTTTGGGCTAAGACATTTCACTCTGGATTACTTGCCTTCTTTAACTCCTGTTTGTTTTGTCATTTCTTCTGGCTGTGATTGGGTTATATGACAATTAGTAAATAACCTGTGATTTGTAAAAAGGTACATATTAGGCTGAGAAAACTGTTTTGCCTTCATTTGCATCTCATTTTTTAATCTCTATTATGCTAATAGGAAAATGCATCAGTGTGTTTTTATCGGATTTCTTCTTAAATTCTAGATCATTTTGAAAATGGATGTGTAAGTGTTCCTCTAAAACACCTCACTAGTTATTATATGATATGTGATCTGTTTTCCTAAAGATTAAAATCTTGCTTCTTATTCAGAATAGCGATGTTATGTGCAATGCAATTATGTATACTAGATTCATCCCAAATTCATAAGAAAAAGTGTGGTTACCAGAGGTAAAATAATAACTACAACATAAACATAATGCCAGGTATACAGAAAAATTTAGCAATGACTATAATTATTTTCTTTTATAGAATAAATACCAAATATACATTCATTTGACTGAAAATGTCACATTGCTTTTGTGAAGTAAATTTACAAAGTGTTAAACATTTGATTAAAATGAATGATGATTCTTTAGCTATAGCATGTGGGGGGCAATCCCACACCTTTTAAGGTCATAACATTAATGTAATATAACAGCTTTTTCCCCCCTCTACTTCTATAAGCGGAGAATGCTGCTTCCTGAAAGCTGTCTGGAAATTCAGCCAAAGAAAGAAGAAGGTTGCAAAAATTCTGGGAACTTTAAAGAAAAGTGGCTGGCATTAGCTTGGTCCTCACTTTAAACTAAAATTAAAACAATAGACAGACATGTACGGTAATCTCTCTTTTAAGGAAAGAATAGAATTCCTCTACAGTAATGTCAAGTGGAACAATTTGGTCCTGGCCCAAGCTATGCAGCTGTTCCACAGGAAAACAGCAAAAGGCTTCAATCCAAAGCAGGCAAATAAGGCATGATTGTTTATAAACAGTCACTGTGGCCCTCACATTTAGAACAAGAAAAACAATATTAACATATAGGAGGCCAGGTTAGGAACATGAGTCTCAGTATGAGTTGAGTCACACCATCATTTTGTGATTTATACAAAAGATAGTGGTGCTATTTTTTTCTACTATTAACTTGCCTAATAACCATGGATAACTCATACTTTAGGAAATCATATATTGGTCAAACATTTTTAAAAAAACAATATTTGATCACGGATTAAGGAAATGATATGTCAGCTACAAAATGTAAAGAAATCATATACCTGTTATCCACTTCTGATTCTCACCTTCTCATCAAAGGGGGCTCGGGTAATTGGTAAGGATAATAGAAATCGGGTGTTTCAGGAGTCAATTAGAAGCTAAGACAGTATTGCTTCTCCGTGATTCCAAAATAACAAAATGGGGAATCAGGTGTAATAGCAGCAAAACAATGGAGAACTTTGACGGTGATTACCAGAGTAAAATAGGAAATTCAAACCTACCTGTTGGGTAAATGTGATATCACATACTTCATTTTTACTCCCACTCTTTACAGGCTTTTTTGATCCTATCTTAAAATTTGGACAGCCTCTCTACTATTTTTTGTTTTAAAACTTCTGTTTGACATAACTTTCTTTTCTCATTCCTTTTCCACTTTTCATGATTCATTTTCTGAAATGGGTGTCCTTCCTGTTTTCTTTACTTCCCCACCACTTACTAACTCTCTGATTAATCCATTTCAATTTGTGTTCTGTTCTCTTTGCTCTAGTGAGACTTGTTTTCTTTATGATCAGTAAAATTTCCTTCTGGGAAAATCCAATGATTTCTTTTCAGTCTTCCCTTGTTTTATTTGTCCTATCTGCCTCAACTGGCACTGTTGGAGATCAAATATAAACTAGAGAGGCTAGAACTGAGACTGTCTTTAAAGAGGTTAATGTCTTCATTTATTGGAAATGATAGTTACTTTGAAAATGCAGAAGAGTGGATTTTAAGATAATTAGGAAGGGCATAAAAGAAGCAGTGGTCTAAAGGCAAAAATGAGTCAAAGAAGTTGGCTATACCTTTAATGTCAATGGCCTGGAGGTCTACAAGGAAAGAAAATGGTAAAAAGAGAGTTCGGAATGAGAATACAAGAGAATAAGTTAATGTATATTTACTTGTGGACCATAGCACATAGAATATAACATTATGATCTATAATGATAAAGATAGAAAATAATAATTTTAACCCTTCTGGAGCTTATGAGTGAATTGCCAGAGGATACTATACTAATTAGAGGATATTCTATATGGCTGTAAACTCATGCTAAAAATAGTCAGCTTGGTAGGAATTTGGCAAGTTGCCAGAAAGGGCAAATACAGCAGAAAGCCTGATAGAAGAGAACAGCAGCACTAAAATGTGTCTTGAGACTACCCAGTTCTTCACCTTCAAGCATCCAGAGCTTCGATTTCAGTGCTGCACGTTATTGTAGGGCCCATCCTAATTTTTCAAAAGTGACATTGGCCAACATAGGTGACAATTTAGACTCAGCAATTGAAGTAGCAGAAAAATAGCTGAAGGAATGTAATCTTTGGGCAATGATTGAACTAAGTTTACATCCTGACTCATCCATTTTAAATCTGGATGAATAAGGAAAGTCAGTTAATACTGAGCTTTGGTTTTCCTTTCTGTAAAACAAGGAGCCTTTTTATTTCCATTACCTATAGCAAAGTGATACTAATCAGGATCCTTCTGAGAAAGGTGACGTTTTCTATTTCTTAAACTTCTGGAACCTTTGTATTCTTAAATAACATAAATAAATAAGAGATTGTGTTTTTCATTCATCGGCAGTGCAGAGGATTATTGCATATCCAAGTTTATTTCTAGGTAACTGAAACAGAGACCACAATAAGGCATATCTATTCAACCGAATCTGAGCTGAGGGAAATGGACTACTTAAATAGCTAATTACATAGATCACAATCTAAGTACTCACCAAAAAAAAAAAAAAATGTGGATAGTGAGAGTGGATATGGAATCAAAGAGAAGATCTTTGATAGGTAATTAGATGCTATTTGAGCTGGAATGTATTTACTCCCAAGCATTCTATATATTATATTTCCCATCTTCACCTCATTTAAATGTGTAAATTGTACACATATGTACTTTGGGGCAGAACTATGGAGAGAAGGTAAAAGCAAAAATCCTTTGCTATTCCCTGATACTTTATCATATCTCCAAACACTGACCTCTGAGGTTATAAGGAGAAATGGAAGCTAAGGGCGGGGTGGGGGGTGGGGAAAGAGGAACAGACAGAGTTGGAAAATAATAAGCAAAGGGAACAGGAGTGGAAATAGAAGGGAAAGTTAGGAAAGAAGCGCTGGTATTAGATATACAACATCGGGAGGAAAGAAACTGGATTTAAGTATGTCTAAAGCTGACTAGAGTCTATTACACTTCTTTCTTAGTTAAAGTACAGATCTTACAGCCAAAGCTCTGTTGAAACTGTAGTACTGAAATGCACTGTCACATTTTGATAGCGCACTGCAGTTGAAAAATGTTTTCTATAAGCAACTTAAACTTATCAGAGGGTAAGAACTATAAAAGTGAATTGTACAGGATATATGTAGTAAAGCTACTTTGAAAAAATTTGCTCCTTTCAAGGTCTAAAATGCCTTAAATGTTTCTTAAAAGATAGAAAAAATTTACAAAATGCTCTTTAAGTCAGTATATTTTAAATCTCTAGAAAATAATTACTGGAAGAGAGAACAGTTCTAAAATAACAATACGGTGATAAAGTATGAGTTCACTTAGTGTGTTAAAAAGTATAAGACAATACAATTAAGGAAGTTGAAATTTCAGGCTTCTGTATTAAAATTACTAGAGAAAAATTCCTCATGTGATAATATGAAATCTACACTTAAATAACAAATGTTATTAGAAACAATTTTTTAGTAATTAAATTTGATTTGCTCAAAAGCTATCCCATATAATTATGTATAGAGAACAATTAAATGCCTCCCATTAAAATTTAAACAGAAATGCAAATCAATTGGAAGCTTCTAAAAAGATCAAATAAGTGACTTTCAGCTCCACGTAGAATGCTACTATAGAAAGATCAAATCATTTCCAATGAAATAATCCTTATTTGGATACTCCATACTTGAATTTTCTATTAAATATAGATTTTCTATGAGTTAGCTGTTTATAAACATGAATGTCAAAAAGTAAAATTTTAGGGTTGAAATGATGTTAGAACTCATCATTCTAACAATGAAATCTCTTTATAATAGAAAATGTGGAGTCTGTGACCCTTTTCATTCACACTACCTCCAAACATATCACATTCACAAATTATGTCTCAGGGGCTACACTAGAGGTGTAGATTTGATCCCCCTTAGGAAAATGATTTCGCATGTAACTTTAAACCTTGGGCATATTTTGAGGATTCAATATTTTCAAAGTTTTTCATGAGAGAAGTTCAGCATGTGTAACTTCTACAATCTGATGATGTAAAAACAGTGACTGATTAAGCCTATACTCCTTTCAGGTTGAAATATCTTAGTAGGAAAAAAAAAGAAAGAAAGAAAGAAAAAGAACAAAAAAATCACAGTTGGAAGCCTCCCCAGAAACTTCACTAGATGACAAACTACAAGACCAATCTTCCACAAACACTTAATGAAGACATGGTTCAGGGGGGTTTCTGTTCTGAGATCACTTTGCCCACCAAGAAAAGACAAAAATAGTGGATTTCTGCAGTTAAAGACTGCAATCAAAGCAGGATACAAGAAAAGTAAAAAATTGTATTGCTCATTAAATCACTTACAGTGGTTTTCCTTTGGATTCACAAGTCAAAATTAAAGGCTGTCCTTCTTGTGGAAAAGGAGTGGATGGTATAATCTTAACTGATGGTGTATCTAGGAGAAAAGAAAAAGTAATATTAAAAAAGGTCATTACACACATATAAAACTATATATATGTTCAGGCCATTTCTTGTAATTGTATATATGTATACAATTGTGTATATTTATATAGATTTAGTGAAAAAGGGTCTGCAATTTTAAGAAGCTACCATCCTGTCCAGGAAAAGCTTACAAAAATATCTGAATATCTTATGAGCACCACTGTGGTATTATTTCTGAAATCTGAATTTAAAAGTGAAATTGCAAAAAGTGGTTCAGAGGAATATCAAGCATTTCATACAATTGTTTCTTCACCTATTTATAGATGGCTATGCATACTATTATTATGGACTGAATACGTTTATGTGCATTTGAATAACAACACTTTCATTGTTGCAGGAATACCAGGGACTCACAATAAGGAACCCACAAAGAACTTGAGATCAACTACTGTCTCACAAGCATTATACAGAATCTTTTTGAAAATGCAGTAATGCTGCATTTAGCACATGCTGTTTGCTTTAAAGCACAGTTAGCAAATCATCCGAAATAGTTATTTAGAATGTTATTAAAAGTTAACATTTTGTTATATATGCTACAACATAATTGTTATGAAGTTATTTCCATTTAACAATAAAATTATCCGTTGTGGAAGAAGATGCAAAAATACTTTGAGACATTTATATTTCTAATTTTATGCCATGTAATATTCTTTAATCAACACAGAGATACATATTACATAGAAAAACTGGAAAATAAACTAAAAACAGAGACAGTGTAAACAGGCTCATTCGTTTATGACACCTTGCTAGTGCTGGTTTTGTGTGGCTCGCAGTCAACATGGAACTGTCTCCTCCTCTTGTTTCCATATCCTCAACAATAAACAAAATAGGCTCTGAATGCTCCGGGGCGGGTGGGGGGGGGTCACAATTATTCTCACCCTTCCCTTAGTTGTGATAGAAGAACTGAACTACCCTGAGGTTATAGTCATTCTCTGACTTTGAAGCCAATTAAATAAGTATCAATCAATTGTATAATTTTTAGTTTAGTTATCTTATTTCAGGAAAATATTATGCAGATTTGTCATATATAGAACAATAAACAAGATCCTGTGGAAGGCCTTGTATCCCACTTATAAATTATTTATACTTTTCAAATGCATTCTTTCTCAATCCTTTAAAGAAAAAAATACATTCAAGATAATCAACAATAATATCCCATTTACAAATAGGCATTCCATGTACATCATGGTAAAAAATTGTAGTATAAAATAACCCAGGAAGAAAAATTAATTTGAAGAAATATGACATATATTGTCATATTTTTAACCAGTAGAAAAAAATAATTTAATAAAGGATTGAAATATACTTCACTAATTTCATTACCATCATCACATTTATGGAATCAGTTAACATGATGATCATATAATTTTGTCTTCCAAGTAGAACACTTTTAAAAGTGAAGAGAAAATATTAATTATATAGAATAACAAGTGTGAACCAGAATGATTCTGGGAAAATGAGGGCTATCATCTTCTAAATTTTGACCATATATACATACAGCAAAATTTAATTTCATCCTGACATAGAAAATAAAGCTTCAATTCTAGAGAAAAAGGTGGCAGAAGAAAGATCAGAAAAGTGTGATGTTGGGGAAGAGAGTTGTGTTGTTTATCTGTGATGATTAATTTTACATGTCAACTTGACTACACTATGCGGTACCCAGATATTTGGTCCAAAATTCATTATTTGGGGAATTCTAGTAAGAGTGTTTTGGGAAACGATTAACATTTAAATCAGTGGACTGAGTAAAGCAGATTCCTCTCCCTAAGATGGGTGAGGCTTATCTGATAAGTTGAAGGCCTGAATAGAACAAAAGGCTGACCCTCACACAAATAGGAGAGTATTCCTGTCTGATGGCAACTGAGCTGGCACATCAGCCTTTTTCCTGTCTTCAGATCAAACTGAAACATCTGGGTCTTGAGCCTGCTGACTTTCAGACTGGAACTATAACATCATCTCTTCTGGTTTCTCAGGCCTTTAGACTCAGACTAAAACTAAGTCATCAGCTCTTCTGGGTCTCTAGCCTGCAGACTCAGCCTGCAGATCTTGGAATCTGCACCTTTGTAACAAATCCCATTAGTTCTTCTTCTCTATAGAACCCTGACAAATATAGAATCCTTACAAACAGACCCTGAGATATTTCTTTTATGGGGAGTGACCACAGGGAGCACTGGGAAGTGAGATAGGAAGGGAAGGAAGTCAATCAAGCGTGTGTTATTGAGCAGATTACCCTGTGGGCAGCTGCATGCAATCCTGCTGTGGAACTCAGACAATGTAGGGCTTGCCTCTGAGTCACCTCGCTTGATGGGCAAGGGAGAGGAGTATTTAGGGAATATTGACCAATACTCATTGGTGTTCGGTTGAGGATTGCTGGGGTGGGGATGCAGGTGTTATTTCCCTGGCACCCCTGGTCTACTCGGTGCACAGAAATGGTGTGTGCCAAAGGGATATGGGCAAGTCACCCTCAGTATCTGCCTCAGTGAAGTAAAATACACAGTTCTGCCTGTTCAAGTAATTTATTAGAGGTGAGAATTTATATAACATATGGTCCCCTGAAGCATGGTTCAGCATTCCCTTTAGATCCAGAACACAGAATTTGAATTATAAGCAAGTGCAAAAGCAGATAATATGCTTAGCATGTATTTCTGTGAAACTTTTAGGAAGACCTCTAGGTTACCAAAATCAAGTCATATAATACAATACTGTTATTTTATTTCTGAATTACTCAATATGTTGTTTAGTCTTTGTTCCTAAGAATTATCTTCCCTAGGTTTTTTTTTTTTTTAACACTCAACCCTCCCACCCCTCACAAACACACACACACACTGATAGATACACATATATCTGATTCGACATATATCTCTGGCTACTCTTTCTCATATTCTGTTGGGTTGTCTTCTTGTATTTAACCTTTAAGTATTGAGGTCACCAAGAATGGGATTCACAATCTGTTCTCACATAATTCTCTAGGACCTTTTAGCCACACCCATCTCTGCAGTTTCTATCTACTCATTAACCACTCCCAGGTTTATATCCTAGAGCAGTTCTGTACCACAAGCTACACTCATGTATATGCAACGCCTATTTGACATGTCCAGTTGGATGTTGAAAAGACATGGTACACTCAGTATGTCCAAAAGGAACTCAGAGTCTCCCACTGACTGACACATTCTCCCCTGATATGTTCTTCTTCCAGCAATTTCTAGTTCTATAAATACCACCAGCCTCTATCCAGCTACATACAGCAGACACCTCCTGTTCCCTTATCTTTTCTATAATCAATCAATTAATTAATCATCAAGTTTGGTTGACTTATTTCCTAAATAATTTTGAAATCTACTCGTTGCTTTTTTATATCTCCACAACCTTTCTTTCATTTAGTCTACCGCAAAAGTGAATGGCCTCCACCATATCAGCTTTTTACACCTCTAAATCTGATGACATCAATATTCTCGTTAAAACCTTGCATGGTAAATCTTTTCTCTTAGGATTAAAAGAAAAATAATCAGCATAGTCTTTAAGTCCTATATGATCTACACAGGTCTTTACTCTCATGCCTTGTAACACTCAATTCATTCTTTGAATTCCAGTTAATTATACTTTCTGTTGGGTACTTTAATGAATATGTTTTTTAACTTTATACAAACGGTCTGAAATACTCCATTTTGGGGGGATCCTTTGCCTTTTTAACTCTTTTAAATCTTAACTCAAATATTTGCTGAGGGCAATCATTCATTACCCTCACATTTGGTCACATATCTCTGCTGCATGTTCTCTTTTTCATCTCTGTATAATTTTTAAAAGGCATTTCTGTATCCTCAGTGTCTAGCATAGTGCTTTATACAAAATCTGTGCTTAATAAATAAATTATTAAATGGGGGAACACTCTAATTTTTTAATTTTCTTATTATCATTTTAAAACATTAATTTTAAAATATTAAAAACTGCTTAATTGAATATTTGTTGGGGCCTGCATTTGTATGTAAAATTAATATTAAATGTTCATGTCACAAACCTTACATTGAGTTTTGTTCTTACACATATTTAATTTAATTAAATGTCTACTGCTGATTCTCTTCCTGGTATAAATTTTCTGCATTAGATAATATTAGATAACAACTTTCCATGATTATACAAATGGCAATTTTATTTATTTATTTATTTATTTATTTTTTTGTGGTACGCGGGCCTCTGGCTGTTGTGGCCGCTCCCATTGCGGAGTACAGGCTCCGGACGCGCAGGCTCAGTGGCCATGGCTCACGGGCCCAGCCGCTCCGCGGCACGTGGGATCTTCCCGGACCAGGGCACGAACCCATGTCCCCTGCATCGGCAGGCGGACTCTCAACCACTGTGCCACCAGGGAAGCCCGGCAATTTGTTTTTTAATGCATATACCGCATAAATAACTTTTCTCTCCTCATCTGATTTTGACAGGGGAAGCACTCAATTGTGAAGAGATTATTTATATAATCAGTCAAAATTCTAGTTTACAGTTCCATGAAATGTCAGCATTCGTCTTTAAACATACAACGTTAGCAATGTACACAAAATTACATTTTTTTTTACATCAAAACTACAGTAATGTGATATTATCCCAAACTTGACTCTTTCTCATATACTTTAAATTTTTTTATTTTATTGGAGTATAGTTGATTTACAACGTTGTGTTAGTTTCAGGTGTACAGCAAAGTGATTCAGTTATACATATACATATATTCATTCTTTTTTAGATTCTTTTCTCATATAGGTTATCACAGAATATTAAGTAGAGTTCCCGGTGCTATACAGTAAGCAGATCCTTGTTGCTTATCTATCTCATATATAGTAGTATCTGTGTGTTCATCCCAAGCTTCTGATTTATCTTCCCCTGCCACAGTGTTTACTTTAAAATAACATTTTGAATATGTAACATTTTACATGGCCTAAAAGTCAAAATATTTTATTTTATTTTTTA